CACTTGTGTTTCTGTTCTCCCTGCCAATTTCCCCGTCTTCTTCATGCTTCACTCTATTTATAGATTTTCTTTAACGTAACCTCCTACAAGCGGTTTAAAAACCGCTACCACGTTCCAAGTGCATGTTAACTGTCCCTCGATTTCTACCTTAGCCACGGTTTAGAAAACTGCTACCACGTTCCATGTGCACATTAACTGTCCCTCGATTTCTACCTTAGCCACGGTTTAAAAACCGCTACCACGTCCCATGTGCACGCTAATCGTCCCTCGATTTCTACCTTAGCCACGGTTTAGAAAACCGCTACCCATGTTTCATGTGCATGATAATCGTTCCCTCGATCTCAACCTCAGTCATCGAGTATTTAAACTGCTGACTTCCCACTTAACTTCATACTTAATACCTAAAATCAATTTTTACTTCCCAATCATGTTCACCAAATTTCCTGTCTTCTTTTTATTCTGATTCTCGATTTTCTTTAATACAAGGTCATTGAATTTTCTCCTATCTATTTTCGATTTCCCTACCCTACTGTCATCTAATTTCTTCTTTGATTTTTTATTCCGATTTTTGATTTTTTCCCATCAACACAGGGAAAATAAAGAAAGCGATAGTAAAGTTCAATGAAAATGGAAACCCAGATCGCCAGAAATTTCATCCTCCTCGTCATTCTCCTGTAGACGTGTATAGGAAATTTTTTGTCCTCTTTTTCACGAACTTTATTCTATTTATAATTTATTTTGCATAACTACCCAAGGTAGTTGAAAAAACCGCTACCAAAATGTTCCCATGTGCAGGGATAACCGCTTTCCTCAATTTCGGTTTCAGAAATCGAATACTTGGATTTATATGGTGCTTCTGATCTTTCTCATCTTCTCGATATTTTATTCTATGTTGATGTTTCACCCCAATTTTGGTCATCGAGCCCTTTTATTTTTTTGATTCATATACCAATTTTTCACTAACACTGGGTTTCCGCTTTCATCGATCTGTATTACCGCTTTCTGTATTTTCCTTGGTAATTTATTCTTATGCAGTTCAAGTCATGTATTACTGTTGGTGGGAAAAATCGAAATATGAATCGAAAAGTAGAAAATCGATATATGAATCGAAAAGTGGATAAATCGATATATGAATAAAATGGAAAATCGAGATATGAATCGAAAAAGTGGAAAATCGAGATATGAATTGAAAAGTGGAAAATCGAGATATGAATCGAAAAGTGGATAGAGGAAATTCGATGAACATGATTGGGAGTAAAAAGTCGATAATAAGTATCGAGTGTTAAGTTGAGGGAAGTCAATGTTTGGGGTCGAAATTAAAAGAAGCAGTTATCTTTGCACATGGGAACATGGGGTAGCGGTTTCTAAACCGTTCTTAGGTGGTTATGTTGAGTAAAGTTATAAATAGAACAAAACGTGAAGAAGGGAGGAGATTTTCAGGGGTATCAGAAATTTATTGTAGAAGTCTACTAGAGACCGACGACGATCATGGAATTTCTGGCAATCTAGATTTCTGACTTTATCGGCTTTTGTTACCGCTTTCTATATTTTCCTTGGTAATTTACTTTTGTGCAATTTAAAATTATGTATTACTTTTGCGCTTCGTCATTTATTTACCTTTCTCTGTTTCTTTCTAAGTTATTTCAATCAGAAGTTTCATATGATCATGTCCTTTTATTTTATCTTTATTTAGTTTCTTTATATGGATTTGCATGTCTCTAATTTCATATAGCCTTTCATTTTATATTTTTTACACTAAATTTAACTTTTGCCAATTCTCATTTTCTCAAGTCTCTTAATAAAAAATACAAAAAAGAACTTTCTTTTTTTAAGTTAATGAATGTAATTTATTTATTGTTGAACAACTTTTCTTTCAATTGGATATAATTGTTTATTTGAGTAACATTGTGTTTCTGGTGCAAATTTTGGTTATTTTCGATGTCCTAGAGACTTAAATTCTAACCAAATTTTAACCACGCAAATTCTTTTTATTTTGGCTTGCAAACAGTTTTCAATAAAAAAATATATGAAAATCGAAAATGTCACAATATCGAGCCGAATGAAAATAAAGCATGCACGTATATTAGAAACACTGGAAGCGTGATAAAGCATGCATGTATATTAGAAACATGGGAAGCGTGATAAAGCATGCATATTGAAATCGAAAGTACTCTTTTTGTATTTTTTATATTAAAAGACTCAAGAAAATGAAACTTAATAGAAGTAAAGAAAGCAGTAACGCATAAAATTAAATTGCACTGAGAATAAATGACATATATTAAAGTGCGCATAAAAGTAATCGAGAATACTGGAAAGTAATTTAAACGTTCGAGTAAATAAATTACTGAAAAAGTAAAGAAAGCATTAAATGCAAAATCTTAAACTTGCATTAAAGGTAAAATACAATGAAATAATTGCGGAATCTTAAGATTGCATAAGAGTAAATGACATGAATTTAAATTGCATTAAAGATAAAGTACCAACTGAAAGTAAAGAAAGTTGTAAAAACAGATCGATGAAAATGGAAATCCAGATCGCGTAAACTTCATGATTCGTCGTTCTCCGGTAGACTTTTCACTTGTGTTTCTGTTGTCTCTGCCAATTTCCCCTTTTCTCTTCATGCTTCATTCTATTTATAGGCTTGCTTCAACATAACCTCCTAAGAGTGGTTAAAAGACCGCTACCACGTTCCATGTGCATGTTAACTGCCTCGATTTTCAACTTAGCCACGATTTGGAAAGTCGTTTCTCATGTTCCATGTGCGCGTTAACCGTTCCTCGATCTCGATTCCAAACATCGAGTACTTTGAACTCGCTTTCGATCGCCTTCGATATTCATCATCGATTTTCTCCCATTCGATTCTCGATCAATATTTCCATACTAATATATGGTCATCGAACAACTCTTGATTTCACATATCGATTTCTTTCTCATTAACACGATCATCGAATGTCTTCCACCTTTCGATTTATCTATCGAGTATCGAATTCCTTCTTTCGATTGTCGATTCAGATTCTCAATTTTTCCACCAACACATTGACGTCTCGAATACTTTTAAATTCATTATCCGTGTTTCGTACTTAAATTTATCGTTTCATACGTTTTGATTGAAAAACTTTGTTTGCTAGCCTAAATAAAAAGAACTCACTGTGGTTGAAAATTGGTTAAAACCTAGTCTTTGGGGAAATCGAAACAAAACTAAATTTCACCATTAACAATTACCTTTTCGTTTCATCATTTATTTACCTCTCTGTATTTCTTTCAAGTTAATTCAATCCGAAGTTTCATATAGTCATTTTCTTTTCCAGTTTCTTTTATGTATTTGCATGTCTCTAAATTCACGTAGTCTTTCATTTTATATCATTTACATTTAACTTTAAAGTGATTTTAAATTAGGTTGGATGAAAATTTTGATTTTAAAAAAATTGAAATAATTCAAATATATTTTTTTTTCATTTGAATTTCCTCATTTCTTAAAATATTTTGCTTGAATAGATCAATTGATTTTTTTTTAAATCTCAGTTTGGATAGGATAATTTAATTTTTACTGTATATAAATAATCAAATATATATTTAAATTTAAGATTAATACTAATTTTTTTTAAATAAATATTAACTAATATTGATAGTTTAAAATATAAATATTAACAATTTTTACTTTTATTAATAATAAGAAAAAAATAGAAGGGAGAGGGAGAAAGAAAAGGAATGACGAGGTAAGAGAGGGATGAAGAGCAATAGGTGAAGGTAGAATTAACTTAAGGTGTTTGATAGAGGAAAAAGATGATAGAAATAATTTAAAAAATGGTGGAAGTTGCTATTTTTCATATGTTTCTGTCAATCTCTTAATCTCTATTTATTTTCCTTTATTTATCTTTAATCAAACATCTTTAATCTTTAATTTATTTATTATCTCTTTCCCATCTACTAAGGTTATATTTGGATAAGCTTCTCTCCATACTAGAATTTTTTTCCCTAAAAGTTCTTTCATGTTACTTTATAGAAATTGTAGAATTTTTATGTCTAGAAAACTCTCTCATTTTTTTATCCTAAAAAGACTAATGGAGAAATTCATCCAAACAGATACCAACTTATTTTAATTTAACCTAGTTTTCTCCTTTATCAAATAAAGCTTAAAAAAACTTATCAATCGTTTAGTTTTATAAGGAATTAATTTGCAAGGTTAAATTAGAACAATTTTGTACTGATATCTTGGCCCAATAAGAGCCCAACATACTTCAACATTTGGTGCAAATAAAGACTTGAGCCACAGCACAACCATCCACTTCACAAAGATATGCATTCTTTTTGAGTTTCATATTCTACCCGAGAGTACACAATTTACTAATGTTTATATAAATTTATATTCTAAAATTAGAAAATAACTAGTGTATCATATTTATAATTCGACAAGACAGCGTTTGATTTTTTTTTTTTTTTAGAGACTAAATTAGGTTAATTGACTCTTTATCAAAAATACAAATTGGATATTTGCTAAATACAAATTTATATCATGCACTTGTTACCCGAAATATATTCCAATTAAGCTCCAGTCACAACCGCAAGAATTTTATTCCAAAAACTAAACAACCAAATACAAGATTGTAAAATGCTCTAACCAAATCAATAAAGACTTGCGAATCAATCAGAAAATGTGGTGTCAAACTGAACCGAGAAAACAATAAAAATAAAATGAGGGCTGAAGCAAGATACAGAGGACTAAAATCTGTACAACAGATGAAATAAAACGAACCTTTTTAGTATGCAAATATATAAAAATCTGTACAACAGATGAAATAAAACGAACCTTTTTAGTATGCAAATATATAATGAATATATTCTTTGATTCTGCTGCTACAAAATAGAAAATGAACAAAGGAAACAAAATGTGTGTTTGGGAGCAGTATCAATGACCTTATTTCATTGATTGCTGCAATAAACTCAAAAATTCCACCAGACATTTGGTTGCTGTGACACAAAATCTTGGGCAACTCATGATGTTAATCTGAACCGCCTGCCTTGCCCTCCTCATTTTTATTCATGGCCTTCTTTGCCAACTCATAACCTGCAAAGTTCATAGCACCAAGAGGTGCAATCCAAAAGAACCTGGGCACTGCACCTTTGAACAAGCCAAGGGGTCCCTCATGTTTTAGTATAGAGAAGGCTATCAAGGACATTGACACAGACCGGCCTTGTGCAGTCATCATTCTAGTTTTCATGACATCAAATGGTGTTGTCACAACAGCCGCCAAGCCACCAGATAAAGCTCCAACTGCAATTGTTTCCAGGGGACCAAGTTCCCGCTCTAGTAATCTTTCAACAACCTAAAATCAGACCACATTTCAGTCTCGAAATAAAGATAGGTTCACTGGTAGCTAAGCAAACATACTATGCAATGTCTACATGCAATTTATTTTCATTATTATTGAATGCTCACAAGTTTGGTTTTTGAGTGAGGTGTTCACTACTAATTGTAGTGTATGTTAACATACATTGATGCATCGATTTCGCCTTCAGAATGCTTTTGTCACATAACTTTTAAGAGAAATATCTCATGGCTTCAAGTCAACTTATGTTTTTCCACCTATTCAATATTAACACAATCTCGAAATTTATTGGTGCTGATTTTGTTGCAGTAAACCGTCAAAATTCCTACTCAGTCCAGTTTACTCAAAGTTAATCTTCTTTTGGGTGAAATAAAAAAACATTCAGTTTAACACACAGTAAGTTTCAAACAAATATATAATACAGCAACAAAGCTTGATACCACTAAGTCACTATAGCCGCATGAGTCACAACGTTATTCTATTCAGTTGAGGACCAAACTCCAAGGTTTCTGAGATATTATAATGTGTAAATTTAAATGAAAATACCATTGACAAACACAACAACATTGATCAAGCATGCTGAACCATGGAAATTACACACCTTTTTAGATTCAGCGTAAAGCCCCATGCCAGCCACATAAAATGGAACCTCACGGCACAGGGTAGCTCCGGTTCCCCGAAAAAAACCCCTAAGACCATCCTGCTCCCAGGTCGCAACAAAAGCCTGACCCACGTTGTCAAAAAGACCAGCCTGTAACCTTTGCTTCAACACCTCACAGGGGATCCGCACAGCTGTTCCCAAAAATGTGCTACAGAATGATGCCACAGATTGTACCTACAGAATGGTTTGTACGTGAAACTTCTGGATTAAGTGAAGTGATAACAAAGAAGACCTTATTATACAGCATGATGATGAACTTATTGTCAACCTCCTAATGTAAAAATTCACTTTTAAAGGTCAATCAAAGTGCATAACAAACCATTTAAAGTATTAAAAACCATAAAATATAATTTGAAAAATATTTATCTATTAGGTATGAAGAACGTCAATTTAAAGCATTTGCATCACTCTAGAAAGGTTTTCACTAACGACCCTTTTAATATACATGGAGCTAAGTAAAATATTCACTTATTACAGTGACAGGTTTATCATGCTTTTACTTATGATAGGTTGGAAAGCAAGAAAAATTTACAGCAGTTGTATAGGTATATTCTCAACCACTTTTCTTAATAAAGTAAAGTCTTTAACTAATACTAAAATATAATGCAGAAAACTTGAGACTGAATACTAGGGAATGAGGCATTTCACTCTATGTTCTTTGCATTCTCAAAAACCAACAAGGAAAACATATTAAGGAGTAGTGTTGGAGCAACATATAAATAGCCATCATATAAGGTTTACAAATTACCTGGAGTTCTGGTAGTGTTGGAGCAACGAAAAGAGATCAAATAAGCAACCTTGAAAACTGTCCAAGAATTGCAGGGATTGACCCCCTGTATAAACCCCGCCTTCCAATCTCTGGCAGCTTAGAAATTATTTCAGGGAAGGACATGGTTGATGCTTGTTCTCGTCTAATATACCAAATAAGACAATGATGAGGCCTCTAAAAGGAGCCAAAAAAATCAAATGGCTATTAGAGGAATATGGAATTGTTCAGGAAAGTTCAAGAACATGCCTTAATGGTATCAACTGGATGCAGTAAGGCACAAGACAGGGCACAGGAAAGGCCACCTGCCAACGCAGATCTTAGTACGCTTCCTGCAGGAATTTCAACTGCCGGTGGAACAGCAACTACAGTTGCCGCTTCAAACCAAATACTCCTGAAAGTGATAACAAAAGTAGTCATTAATACAGAGAATAAATCTTAATCATTGACTGCTGGTAGAAGTTGAACCACTGACAAAATTTAAATAAGGCCATAATCTACTGTGAGTATCCATGTTTCAGATTTTGAGAAGTTTTACATCGGCTGCTGATGACCTAACCCAATGGGACTGGCTATAAGACCATAGGCCTGAGAATCAACAATGAATACTTATTATCCCACGCGAGCTTAGTTATCTGAGTAAGACAACGTCATTTAACTAGGCTAAAAGTAGGATAGCAATTAAACCCGTAACCGTGCCAACCACCCGTCTCCGCCCCGAGTTTCACGGGAAAAACCCGAGTTGATCGGGGGCGGGGTCGGGTTCGGGATTTGCCTGCTTTAAAAGGTCGGGATGATAATGCAATCCCCACCCTGCACTCGTCCCCGTCCTCGCCCCGACTTTATATTTAAATTTAAATTTTAAAATATTAATATTTTAAAATATTTCTTTTTCTTTTTCTATTACATATAAGATTATTTTTTTATATTTTACCATTTTTTATTTTTCTTCTATTCACTTTTTTTTTATCTTTTTCAATCTTTTATATCAATTAATTTATTATATTATTCTCTCCCTTATCTTTCAGCTTTTTCACATTTTCTTAGTTTCTCCCATCAATTTGTTTTTTTTTTCAATCTTTTCAACCAATTTGATGAACACAAAGTTAATATTTTTTTCTTTATCTTTTTCTAAATATTTTACATCAATCTTAGGAGTAACTAATATTAGTTTATTTATAATTTATATTTATTATGTCATATTTTTTTATCTTATTATGTTTATTTATCATATATCAAATTTTATCTTAATAAAATAATTGCATTTTAAAGGATTAAAAGAAATTAATAATTTAAACTTTTATTACTTCAAACTAATTAAATAAGAATTAACTTATTAAATATTTTCTTATAAACTATATATTGACAACTTAAAAATGAATTAACTTATATGTATAATTAAATATTTGAATACAAGTATTATAATAATAATGTTATAAATATTCAAATATTTGAATATAGTGTTATAATAATAATAATAATAATAATAAAAATAATGTTATAAATATTAGATATATATATATATAAATAAAAAATAATTAAATATTTTTTTACATATATATTTTAATATAAATATAATAATTTAAAATGTATATTTAATTAATAATAACTATAAATTATAAATATTTATTTATATATAAAAATACATAGTAAAATTAATTTATTATAAATATAATTATATTTTTAAAAATAATATAAATCGGGACGGACGGGACTGGGCAAGGGCGAGTGAACCCGAAACCCAACGAGGACGGGGATGGGGACTTAATTACTAACTCCGGCGGGGATCGAGAACGGGGACGAGGATGGTTAAAAAAGTCGGGTGCGGGGACGGGACCCCCACCCCGCCTTGCCATGCCTAGCTAAAAGCCAGAGATTCAGAAATATTACTTCCCATGAGATCTACCTTGATGACTTTTTTGAAAGTCCTTCTTGGTCTTTCTCTCCTCCAATTCACACGACTAAAAACCATACAATACAAGTCACCCTCTCATCAGTGCCTCTCATGGTCTTCTTTGTATGTAGCTAAACCACCTTAATCAATCTTCTGTCATACTTCCCTCAATCACAACTACACCAATCTTTTCTAATACATAATAATTTTGTATCTTGTCCTATAGACCTGGCAAATATATACACAAATCAAATACAACTACCAAAACATGTAAATGCCTTAATTTCAGCCACTTCCCTATAGAACAGTCATTGGAAGTGGGTTTGCCTAGGTAAGCACTAGGACAGTCCTTCTTAGGAGCAGTTGTTTGCTATTCTTTATATAAAGGTTTTGCTAAAGCAAGGAGGACAAAAACTATGAGAGCATGTATTGTTTTGGTTGGAATAGAATGCACACACGTCAAAGGCTCCACTTTGTGATAGGAATTAGTTTATGGCTTCTCCATGGTTTGTTTTGCCCTTGGCTACTTAATGTTCTCATTTTCTTAAACTCTATTTTGAAATGTATCTTATTCTCCATCTTTTCTCTATATATTCCCTTTTTTCTATCATTAGCAAATATAGGCATAAGCCCGGCATTTTATATAGTAATGGCACTTATAAAAACCCCTCCAACCTCCAAATATATACAAAGGATTAGTAATGGACTTTATGTATATCGCCTATAATGGGGAAATATAAAAAGAAAATCAATTAATTGATCATATTTCTCTTACCGGGGATCTTCTTGAAGACGATCAGAGGGAAGCAGAAGCATGAAATTTCGGAAATGTCCATATGAAATAGATTCTTCTGAATCTGCATTCAAAAATCGCATCATAGCCACAGCATTGTCTTCATTTGCGGGGAGTCCTGCATTCTTTAGTGACTCCAATATTTCACTCTTCTTCAGTGTCCCTGACTTGCTTAGACAAAGAGAAGTATATGCACGAAGAATTGTTGGCTCCTTCTGTTCCATTAATGATAAAAACTGTTTCATACCAAAAGACCTGGAAAATAAGTGACTTCTGGCACGGCTCATAAATTCTTTAGCATATCTTCGTGGCAGCTTTCGTTTCCTCATTTCAACTTCTAGATCTTCCAGAGTTACTTGGCCATCACCGTCTCTATCCAACTCCTCAAAGAACCTCCTTCCTGTATGATAATGAAAGTGAAAAGTCAAATTTTTCAGTCCAGCAAATACCACAAAGAAATCAGCATACATGATAGGTAAATACAGTACCCAGTCTCTATATAGTTTATTAAGCGGTGTTGTAGCTACCTATCTTCTCTATCTGTTAACCAACTGCCAAAAGTTGTCAATCATATATGCAGTGCTGAGTCAACACCTAGTACTATCTGTATGCACCGTTTTTTATTTGGGAAAAGAACTCTCTACCAATATAATTAATCAAATATAAATTAATAACAAAATAGATTTCAAGTTCTCTTTTTTTATGCCTGTGATCTTTTCTAACAACGCCCAACAAATAAACAGGAAACCTTAGCAAAATCCTTCCAGCAAAGGTGTCAGAAACAGATTAGCTTAAACACATCTTACATGAATAAAAAGCCTAAAAGACCACATCTCATAGCATTCAGAGCCCTGCATACCTTTTTAAGAAAGTTGTTTATCACAAGAAATATATTCATGGATTGTATAGTCATCCATAAGAAGATTCGTTAAACTAACTTAAGTAACTGATTATTTACTATTATAACAATCAATTTATTACATCCCTTGACCTACGTCGTAACAGAAAGTATAAGTTAATTGGCAATATCTTTACATGTATTGTTAGTTCCTTTACCAGTTAAAAATGTACCTAACCTATACTCTCATATTTGCTGAAACAGATTTCTCACATATCCTTCCCAGTACAAGCTTACCGGCATGTTCTATCTTAATCCTAGGCACATGTATGTGATAATAAATGTATTCACAATTTTGAATAATTAAATTAAACCATAATCCTAACTCCAAAGGACTCCATGATCTAACAACCGATAACTACGTTATTAAGAAGAGTTTGCTGGTATCTTATGCAAGCAAACTTAAAAAAGAATAATTGAAAAAAAAAAAACTCCTATCCCATGTAATATGACACACCTTCAGCCTCTGTGTATCTAAAAAAATCCTGCACCGAGATTAATTTCTTCTTATCAGGATGGTCTTTAGATGTTTTTCCCAGTTGTGGTAGCAGTTCAACCATAGTTGCATGTTCAGAAATAAAAGCATGTTGTTCAAAGGAAACTAAGACAAAATATCAATGACCTAATCATTTCTTTGTATTGTGAATTTCTAAAGGATCATAGAAAGCGATAAAATAAAACTGTCCTGAGAAGTATCAGATTCAGATGATAATTCCAAACTTGATGTTAGTACATCGATAAAAGAACCTAAACAACAACCCATCGTCTAAACAACAACCCATCATCTGTGAGTTGGTCTAAAATCAATAGAATTAAATATGCATGAGAAAGATTCAGCCTATGCTTGAGAAAAACAAACTAAAAGAAAGAGAAGAACACTCTACCTACTATAAACCCTTTCCAATATCAATACCCCGGTCAACAAGAAGCAATCTCAGGTGGTCTTACTCAATTTCACAATCTCCTTCAGCAATTGACTTACTGATTTCTTTAGTACATCAGACACTACCAGCTGGGGGTGCATTGACTCTAAACCGTATGAAGTGATAATATTCATAACTGAAACTAATTCCAAATTATTGGTGTTAAAATTCCATACACTTTGATTCAAGAAAATGTACACAACATAGGTAACCAGATACATCTATTAATACAGGACAAAACATTAGGTGTACTTGAAAAAGGCCTATAACATAAACACTTCTATAAACATTTGTGAGACCTTATAAAACAAGCTTATAATCTTTGTTTTCAGCTCATTTCAACAAGTTCTCTAATATACTTGTGAACAAAACTTTTAACTAATATGAAAACAATTTAACTTTAATCTTATTTTGTTTTCGATTATGAAACAACTTACACATATATAAACCTTATTCAATAAAAGTTTAATGAAGCTACTTACCTAAACAAACCTTTCGATGCAGTTTGTTAAGTATTTCTAAAGCTGGTCTTTAATCAATATTGAAGTTTTACTATGGTGGTGTTTCTGGTGGAATTTTGATCGATTTCGATTCCTAAGATATTTTAGTTCTAACCAAATTCCAACCACGTAGATTCTTTTTACTTAGGCTAGCAAACGGTTTTCAATCGAAATATGTATGAAAATAAAAAATCCCATAGTATCCAAAAATACTAACAACGCAACCTAATGTGCAGATTAACAATCGAAAATACTGTTTTTGGTATTTTGTCTTAAGAAACTCGAAGTAAAGAAAACAGTAAAAGTGTCGAATCGAAAAACAGTGCAGAATATTAAATTGCAAAGAAATATAAAATGCGGAAACCTCAAATTTGCATTAAGTGTAAATGGTAAGGAATCGAAATTGCAGAAATGTAAATAGCAGGAAATCGAGACTGCAGAAGTGTAAATAACGAAGAACTTAAACACATAATCTTAACTTACATAAAAGTAAAATAACAAGGAATTGAAAGTGCAGAAACTTAAAGTTGCTAAACGTAAACTGCATCAAAGTAAATTGCATGAACATAAATTACCAGGGAAAGTAAAGAAAGCGATACAGACAATCAATAAAAATGGAAATCTAGATCGCTAGAAACTTCATGATTTCGTCGTTATCCGGTAGACTTTTTCACTAATGTTTCAGTTTGCTCTGCCAATTTTCCCTTTTTTCCTTCATCTTTCGCTCTATTTATAGAGCATCCTTCAGGTAATCTCTTAGGAGCAGTTAACGAAAACTGTTACCACATCCTACGTGCACGTCCTTTGCAGTTTTACTTCTATCTCTACGGTTTAAAAACTGCATTCACGTTCCCATGCATGAGATAATTGTTCCCTTGATCTTCGACCTCTGCCACGGTTTAGAAACCGCTTACCATGTTCTATGTGCACGTCAACTATTCCTCTCTTTATAACTTAGCCAGAATTTCGATAGTCATGTAGGTTAGTCTTTCCCTCGATTTCGATTCCAAATCTCGAGAACTTTGAATTGCTTTTGTTTTCAATTTGTTTCTTAACATTACATTTGACTCTAATTTCTCGATTTTCTTCAACATTAGATATCGAATGTTCTTCCTTCGATTCTCGATTCTGATTCTCGATTTATATGTGTTTTTATCTTGTGGTTACTAAGTATCTGTCTGTCCCTTATCAATTTTTTAACCCGCCATGTGATCTTCGATATTCCTTTCTTGCGTTTATCGATTCTAGTATCGATTTTTCTTTAGGTAACAGGTGGTAACTTATAATGCAGTCATGTAGATTGTCAAAGTGAAACTTCAATTCTGAGTGAATAACAATGCCAAAAACATCTAACGAACACTACATATAAGTTTTGTTGTCTCCAGGTAAATTAGAAACGCTTTGATGAATGCTATGCCTTACCGTGTTATCCGGGACCTCAAAAAAACTTCCGCAGCCTTTTAGCAGGAAAGACAGCACTCTTATGGGTGTCGGGCAGCCAAACGCGGCCACTTGTTTCAAGGCACTTCCCGATAGCCATCTCGTCAATCCAATTTCGTGTCAGATATATCTGCAGGAACCTGAGCCCATCGACTGGGATTATTACAGGAAAGGCATTGGCACTCGGCTGGTGGATTTGTACAAGGAGCATTACGAGAATATGTTTGTGAACCCTATGAAACCCACTCGTCTGGTGGATTAATATGTATATATTTAAATTTCTTAATGATACCAGCACCATGCAGTTGATTGAGCTTAAAGAAGTACAGGAGAAATATATGAAGGAGTCATGGTTATTGAATCAGGAGTTAACATCCTCATCTAGGAATAGAAATGTAGATATTGTATTTGATTATTTGTTCATCTTCATTGATGAATGTTGTACAGTTTATTCATATGTAATATAACTGTTAAGTTGGTTATGGATCATTTAAATGTTAAATATTATGACATTATAAATATTATGTACAAAATACATGTAATTACTACCAGATTTATATGTTACGAACGTATGAAAATGAGGATGCTCCTCTATAGTATTAACTGTTAAAGGGCATGTTGGATTGGTTGATAAGGGTAGAACTATCCTCATACCACATACTTGGATGATATATGGAGCATGGCCACCACCCACTCTCACTGCTCAAGTCAACATCATAGTAACATCAACAATCGGCCAAGTATAACTTAGTTCCACAAAACAAAATGGTCATTAATTTCCATTTGAATTTCTGATGGCAAGATGTTGATATGTAATATAAAAGAAGAAATTCAGATTAAAAGAACAAGGGAAGAGAACAATATAAACTAGCATATGGAAATTGTACAAGTGATAAGATTTATTGTAGGAAAGATGTATAGGTTTACGTATCATCTTTGTACATAACAGATAACTTCATGCTTAATAGTTGTAAAGAATGCGCTTAACAAAAAACAGATTGAAATTTGAAGGTTTTGTCGCTTAAGCGATGGTTTCGTCGCTTGAGCAAGTGTTGATCCACAAACGAAACGCCCAACACAGCTAGCCACATAATATAACTTGGTTCACCTTATATAAGTGTCGCTCAAGCGATGATACTGTCGCTGGAGCGAGATAGAACCCAAGAGTCTCCATTGTTTGAAGGTATCATCGCTCGAGCGACGAACTCCTCGCTTGCGCGACAACTGACCTAGTGAGGAAACGTCCAACGCAGTTAGCCATATAATATAACTTGGCTAACCACATATAAGAATCACTTGTCGCTCAAGCTAGTATATTGTCGCTTGAGCGAGAAAGAACCCGAGAGTCCCCCTTGTTTCAAGGCTCCGTCGCTCAAGCGATGACTTAGTCGCTTGGGCGAGTCTTGACCCTAAACGAAACGTTAAACGCAGTTAGCCAAACAATATAACTTGGATCACCACATATTAGAAACACTTGTCGCTTGAGCGAGACAGAACCCGAGGCTCCCCTTTGGTTAAGGTTCCATCGCTCAAGCGATGTCATCCTCGCTTGAGCGACTGGTGAACCGCAGACGAAACGTCCTACGCAGTTAGCCATCTAATATATCTTGGTTCACCACATATGAGATTCAAATGTCGCTCAAGCGATTACATAGTCGTTTGAGCGCGATTGAACCCAAGTGTCCCCATTGTTTTCAGCGACCTTATATAGCGGTTAATAAGAACCGTTTTTAAAAATATATATTAGATAGCGGTTAGTCGTAAACCGCTGTCTAAAGTATGTTTATAATAGCGGTTTTTTTATAACCGCTCCCTTATATCATACTTTTAAAGAGCGGTTGACCCTTGGAACGCTATAATAAATGTAGTTTAGATAGCGGTTGGCCAAATAACCGCTATCTAAAGTCATATATGTCAAAGTGATCGACTATAATTGGACAATAATCGATCATAATTTTCGATAACCGATTATAATTGAGAATGATCGATTATAGTTGGAGAACATCGATCATAGTTTGTGCTAAGCGATTATAGTTTTACATAATTTCGCTTTGCATCTCTCTCGCCGACGCACGCAAAAGAAACGTTCGTTCTCTCCCGGCTCTGGTTCGTCTATGTTTAATATAGGGTTCTGTTCTAATTACTCGCAGATTCTCTGTTCTCTGTTTTCGTTCACTGTTGACTATCTCAATCGTCATAAACATAAACCATGGCTGGCAAAAGAAAAAGCTCCAAGCGCACCCACTCAGAAGCGACTTCTTCAAGTACCCAAACTGTGACCACGAAGGAGGTGATAGCCCCAAAGGTCTTTGACACCCAATACTTTGTTAATAACGAATTTGACTTCATTAGCAAAATATAACCGATCATATACCACTTATAATCAGTCATCATAACGTATAATCGATTATAACATAAAATAATCGATCATTTTATCTGATTTTTCTAATATCGCTCAAGCGATATCCGATTCAAACATGTGGTCACCCATGTTACATTATGCGGCTAACTTTGATCGACATTTAGTCCCAGGTCAACATTCGCTCACGCGAAATTTACATCGCTCGAGCGATATTTGTCACTTTAAGAGCGGTTAAAGTGGAACCGCTATCTAAAAGTGAACATGTAATAGCGGTTCCAAGTAACCGCTATCTAAAAGATACTTTTAATAGCGGTTAGGTCTAGAACCGCTCTGTTTAGTATGTTTAGATAGCGGTTCTGAGAACCGCTATCTTAAGTACGAATTTAAAAAAAAATATTTAAATTTGGAAATTCCAATTTTATTTTCTCATAATTTGTACCTGATACACCACAATTTCAGGGTATATTTCAAATTAATCTAACAAAATCCAGCTAGCATACAATATATATTCACAGAATTGTATAAAACAATTCAAAATTTGACAAATTACAACTAAAATTTCAGGTTATATTATGTGACTAACTGTGTTGCACATTTACAATTACAACAAAACCTAACAAAATAATTCATCTACAACGAACTGGTGGAACAATTTGTTAACATGAAGTTGAAGGATTGTAATAATGAATGACTTGTGAATTTTAATTGTTGTAGACATATAAGACGTAATATACAACCGATGATTGTTACGTAAATGTATGGACCATCAACTGCTGATAAATGCATTGAAGAAATTACAATTGTTGTTACATTGTTATATTTACATCCACAACTCTTACAAGATCAGAATGTATAGTCTAGACTACTGTTGCACGTTTATGTCCTATCATATATACTCTAACAAAATCAGAATGTATAGTCTACACTACTGATGACGTTATCCGGCCAACAAGACATTGAATCAAAAAAAGCTCTCGTCAATCAACATTGTTATATTGTTAACATGTGCAGTTGAAAGTCATTGAAACGTCACTAAGTTAGTTGTGGTCTAAATAACACTGCAAAATTCTATGTAGTAGATATTAACACTTATGTCCTGCATGTTGAAGAAGAAATTATTAGTAGATATTCATATTACAATACACTAGTTTACCTACTTACAGTACCCAAATGGTTCCTTCATGCATAGGAAGTCATTCAATCCAATGCTTTAAACAACCACTGCAGGCAGCATACCATAGTACCTTTTCAACTCATTTACTAAAGGTTTCCTAGGTTGCTGATCCCGAATGTGATAGACATATACTGGAGGTACCAGATCATTAATTGTTGCCTCCTGCCATGCATGTTGCCCATCCCTCATCTGGTGTTTGAAAGCTTGACAATTTCGTACTCTATGACCTTTTGGTCCCACTTGTACCTCCGGACAATATCCACAAGTTTGAACAGCATACTTCTCCATAAGTTTTGAAGCTCCTGTGCGCATTTTTTCCCAGGCTTTCATGCCTTGAACAGCAATAGCTGCACAGAAGTATGCTCATAATCAGTAAAGTTGACAAAAGTAATGTCTGAGAAGAAAAAAGTATTTCTTATCATAAACCTTGGATATCATCAGAATGCATCACCATAGAATTTGTGTCTTCATTGAAACGTTTTTTCTTATACCAAAATCCATGTGCTTCTATATCTTCCCCAACAGAAATTTTTTTCGGAAATCTTTTCTCAAAATCAATAATCCTACCAGCAACACAGTAAACAGGGAAGGTCCTTCTCCTGGTAGGGTACTCAGGTATGTCAAAACCTGCCTGAACACACAATTCCACAACTGCTGGAATTCGGTCCACTTCAAGCATTTCATTATGCGAAACAGCCCTCCCTATTCTATCATACAGATGAAATGGCTCTACAAGTGGCAGAACATGTTCAACACCACCTTTGATCCAACTATGTTCTTTGCTTGACGGAGTTCCTCTAACATCACATGTTCTAACTTTATGTGCAGGATGACCAACATGAACTTCTCCACATAAGCTGCAAAGCATCTAACAGCTTAAAGTAACAATAATGCATATTTTAAAAATCCAAGTGATGAGTCATTTCAACATTATTCATATTATAGATTCTGTTCATATGAAGAACTCTAAAACCCAGAATGTATTGAAAAATCGTCTGTGTTGACTAATTAAAAATACAAGATAAAAATACTTTTGATGGAACTCTATGATACTTGAATGGAAGTTCTGTAAGCAAAACACTAACAGCTTAAACAACCATAACGAAAAATACCAGAGTCATGGTGTTACCTGCATGTATAAATAGCAGTGTAGTTGATGAGTTTTGAAATACTAGATAATAGTTCACATCTGGCAGCAATAACTTCATGAGCAATAGGAATTAGATGCTTAACCAACAAGCCATTTTCAGGAGGTTGTAATACAATCTCATGCACCTTTTGTTTCTCCTTTTTAATTTATTTAATATTGTAATATTATTTTAGAAATTAATAATAAATTACGAGGAAAATACATATAAAAAGAAATATTATTTAGCCACGAAAGTGCCTATTTTATGTAGCTAAAATTTAACCCTATTCATTGTGCCATTTGATCAAACAATTGGTGACCAGATTTGTATATTGTAACCCAACAAGTGGAAAAACACTTTCAACACCACTTTCATAACAAACTATTTACAAATTAAACAGCTAAAGAACCAATTATTCAGCAAAAAATTCATGAAAATTGTAGACTAACATGAACATAGGCACAAAACGAGAACAATGCACTTACTTGAACCGTAAAAATGCAGCTTAGGAAAAGGATCTCCGATAAATAATGATAATGGAGGAGATTGATGGCGAGAAGAAGGTAACAATCAACAAATTTCTTCAACGTCAGTGC